GGAGAGAGAGGGAGAGAGAGGGAGAGAGAGGGAGAGGGAGGGAGAGGGAGAGTCAGAGGGAGAGGGAGAGGGAGAGAGAGAGAGTTCATGCTTTACCATAATTACTTTACTTTAGTTAACTTTAACATCTTCAGCTCTGACAAGTTTTATCACTATATTTCTACAAATAAAACTATTTGCTCTTCTATATTTAGTTTTATCTCTTCTTTAAACATGAACTCTGGTCCAATTAAAAAGCAAATTAGCACTTGACACCTTGTACCCAGGTCCTACACTACATCATGCTGATTAACTGAATAACTCAGGCAGCAGCAGAATTCCTTTTCTTTTTTTATAAAGAGTAACAAAACAGAAAATAAACTATGAGGCAATAATATCAGTATTATTTAACAATTCAGAAATTGCGCATGGGTTAAAATATGTGACCTTTCTGAGGCAAACTGTTTGATGAAATTCATCCTTAATAAGTTGTCTAACTGGCTGCTATGTCTTACTTGTTAATTAAAAAATGCAAAAAGGCGACATTGAAAGTTCCAGCTATTAGTTTAAATACTCTACTCCAGTACAGTGAAAAGTTTATACAGATGCAGGTGCAATCAATGAATAAGAACTGAGTTATAAGGTAATCTAAAGTCTCTTAATTAATCAGGTGGAGACAGTGATTTATTTATGTTTGCAAACACAAACCATTTCTAAATTATCTGATACGTGGTCGTGCATAACTACAACTGTCTCACATGCAAATGATTAACTCCATTTTGATAGCTTCTTTACAAAACAGGAAAAGCTTAGTGAAGATTAATAGATCACCACTGCATCAGCCAATTTATGTAATTAATCTTAAATGAACTGCATTGTTAAGCCCAGTACAACCTGTCTGGATGAACTAAATAATTCCACATGTAGACCTTGGTAGCTCTGTACTATTAAAACAAAAAAACTTGGAAAATAAAACTGTAAAGCGCAACACAGGATAATTTACTGAAATCTGTGATGTAACTAAATACCATCAATGTTAGCACATACTGTATCAAAGAAAACGGTGTTTATGCATACAAAATTTTAAAGTTTTATTTTCTTCTAAATTAATTTTTATTGAAAATGATAATTTTACAATAACAGGTTCAAAACATGAGCCAACCATGACTGAAGAAAAAATATTAGAAGCAGATAACTTTTTTTTCTGTCAACTATTTGAGACAGCAGACATGGAGTAAAAGCAACTACTGTATAATTACTGATAAAAGTACTTACAAATCATTTGTAAGATGAATTAAGATCCTGTCCAGCAAAAATATATCTCTGGTAAACGACAGTGAAACCCCACCCTATAGGAACAGTGTTATTCTGAACCGAGATCTTGATGCTATAAGATCGAAAAAGGATATTTATCATTTGTTTCTAATGCTTCCAGTGCTTTATGGTCAGGTCAGAGGTTAAGGGTTTAAACTTAAGGGGTAGGATGAATGGTAATTCATACGAAGTACATTCATGTAGTTTACATTTTAGGATTCTAAATAAGTGTTAATTAGGGATGCACCGATATATCGGCCGCCAAAACATATTGGCCGAAAATAGCACTTTTGGCAAAATGCTGAAAGGGCCATTTTCTGGCCAAAATAGCGGTGCATCCGTTCTTTCTGTCCTCCCCGCTGGGCTCTGCTCTGTGTCCCAGCGGGGAGAAGAGAAACTGTCACAGGCGGCCAAGTGCTTCGGGAGGAGAGCACTGTGAGCGGCCGGAGTCTCTCCTCCCCGCATCGCACAACCTCCTGTCACAGATCGGCAGAGCGGTGTGGGCGGAGGCAGCTTACAGTGCTGTCACAGGAGGCTGAGCTCTGCTCGCTCAGCCTCCTGTGACAGCTTTCAGGATGGAGAATGAGTACAAACGCTCAGTGATCAATGATCGCTGAGTGTTTGTAAATAATTGAGGACATGTTTTCTATATCCTCAATTATGAATGCATGGGAAGTGATCTACATCACCCCCTGTTTATTCATGATTGTGGTTTTTAGTAAACATACTAGGGGGTCTCTTCACAAAGCTGCCGAAGGATCTGGCCGTAGCTTCGGCCGATCCTTCGGCTAGCTTCGGCCCCAGGACCCCTTCGGTTCAGGAGAACCGAGGGGGTGCTGTAAGGGCTATTCACAATAGCCCGTACAGCTCCCGATCACAGCCGAGCGGCTCAGTCGAGCCGATCGCATATGCCTCGGCTCGGCTGA